ATCGTTGTTACCTTATTTTTTACATTTTCGCGTGAAAACTGTTAGAAAATTCATAGAATTTTCATCTTGCAGGATGAATTTATTCTTTATTTTTATATTATTCTTTATTTTTATATTATTATTTATTATTTATAGTATTACTTATTATTTATAGTATTATCATTTATTTTTATAGTATCTTGAAGAATACAGACTCCTTTGTGTGAACGTTGCGTAGAGAAGATCGAACAGTGAACGTTAGCAAACATTAATTATTTCACGTCGTTTTCTGCGGCGCGCGAACGTGGAAAAAATATGATCTTTTTGCTCGCGTCAGGTGGAAAAATTCGTAATCCGGTCGGAATTGTCTGCGGCCGATTATTTGAACGAGATTTTCCGCATTTCTGGCCGACGACACGGAAGTTCATTGTTAAACTACGTGGATGCTCGGTGTAACAAAACCAATCACATCAGTGTGCAATAAAAACCTCTAGACACCGATGCGCTCTCGCTGACAGCGCCGACAGATTTTGTCACGCGTCATTCATAGCGATCGTACACGTGTACACGTTTCAGCAAGTGTGCTCGCTATACTTTCCAGGGTGTTACATCAATCGTCACACAAATACGCAGAACAGTGTTCGTGCTGGGTCGGTGGTGTATCGTGATTCACATTCATAAGAACAGGACGTGTGTAGCGCTGACAGTTCTTTCGTGTGTGCAAAGATCTCGCGAGGAAAGATTCCATACTAATTGTTAGATTTCCGTGTTAATTGTTAGATCAATGTGGCTCGGCTCGGTTCGGGAATCGACGTACACGTAGTTAATTGAACCTAGTTACAGTGACCCACAAATGTATTCGTACGCCTTTTAAAACGCGATAACCATTTTAAAACTGAACTAAATGACTTGAATTTACTAATTTGTTAGACGAAATGCTCTTTTTTCAATTTTGCTATTACTTGGAATGACAAAAAGATAAAATCTCCCGTTTTTTAACTTTTTTATCTGAACGAAAATTTAAAAAATGTTACCGAGATCTACGAAAGGCATTTTTTTAATTTTTGTTGTAGGCTCTGATAAAAAAGTTGAAAAACAGGAGCTTTTTATTTCTTTTTATTATTGCGTTATCATTGCATATCAAGGCATTTTAGTCATCGTCTAGTAGACTAGTCCCTGTATCGTCTAAAAAAAATTCAGGTCATTCAGTGGAGTTTTAAAAAAGTTATTGCGTTTTAAAAGGTGTACAAACACTTTTGTGGGCTACTGTAGCTGTTTTTGACGAGTATACTCAAAAAATGTAATAACAAATGTAATAACAAAATGTAATCATTTCGTCGCGACGATTATACTCGCCAAAAACAGCTAACTGGTTATATACTTTGATATTCCTTCTTAAATTATATATTCGATAAAAGTGCTGTATTTAAACAAAATATGAAGAAAATTACACTATTTAAAGAGATTGCAATAGCTAACTGGTTGACGCCTAGGTTTACGGAATCCGTCAAGATGACGGGGTCACTGATTTTTTAATTCACGAGTTATTTATTCAAAATACGTGTCACTTGCGGCAAATATTACAATAACACTCGTTAAAAATCAGAACAAACGTGCTATTGTCGCTTTTAGAAACTAGTATAAAACATCAAATAAAGAGAGATAAACCGATTCTACGACGCAGAAATGTCATTTGTATATAAAATTGGTAGACCATGTAGCCGAGCAATAACAAAGCCGTCAGCACAGCTGCGAAATTTTATTGAATGATCGATACTCGTGTAACGCTGAGAACAACGAAATAGAGTTGAACTCAAATTGCGTCAGCTTTGTAAATATTCGTTTAAATTGCCTTCTCTCTTTGGCAGTCGTTAATAACTAACTCAATGACACGGAAAATGCGATTATAATTCAATATAGTTTGCGCTTTGCATTATACCATACGATTGTTGGCCTCTCTTTTTAGCGGCAAGTAGGAAAACAAGAATGTTTCCCTAACGGACGCAAATTTGATTAGAAACTGCTAACAATTCGTAATTTTTCATATTTTAACCACGCTTCGACGCGTAACACAGTTTTTCCATAACTTTCTGTAACCAATGATTCCATTTCTTGTATTAAACGTCAAACTGAATTTCTGATGATTTTGCGAAAAACAAATTCTCCCTTTTCTCCAACTTCTCCCCTATTCTTTAACCCTCTTTAGACTTACGCAAGTGGCATCGCGGGGTAGATTTCTACCGGATACGAAAATTGCAAACATCTGTGAAGGCTTTCCATTTACAAATAATTGTTTTAGCGAAAATAAAAGACTGATATATCCTCGAACACGATAAAATCTAATACAAAATTTATCATATACTCGATTATATGTTTTATTTATTTAACCGAATGGCAAACCGACGATAGCCTAGGAGTTACGAATAGAAATATTATTAATCGTGGGTTAGAAATCTACACCGCGGAAGTCCTAGCGAGTTAATAAAACATTGATTTCACTAAAATCAGAACTTGATAATCAGCAGTTTCCAAGCCTCAGCTCGTTACACGAATAAAAATGAAATAATGGCACAGGTCGATTCTTATTAGACTGAAAGCCGCAGTAATTCCGACAAGTGCTAATTGAAATCGAAAAACGAAGTGTTTAAAGGTAACAGAAGCCCGCGTCTCGATCGAGCAATACTCCAATTACGATCGAGACAGAAACAATAAGCAACAGCGTTTAAATTACTTTTATAATGATCCTCCAGCATCAAACGCAGCGAGTCAGGTTCCCCGAGGCACACAGCGAAATGGGAGCCGCGTTTCTACAGCCCGGCTCAAACGTGGCGCAGCAATTACGTGTCGGACGCGTAATTCCCGAGCGTGCGTAAATCGAGTTTTAAAATTTCGTGGTTGAAGGGCTCTCGAGCCGAGCCACTGTCGTAACGAAGGGCGAATATCTCGTAAAAGACGGCGTGGACAGGGGCGAGAGGGCGCGGGTATACGGCCCAGTATTTGCTTTGTATCAAACTCGACTGGGATCCGACACGATACCGTGGCCCGTAATCTCGTTCCCCTAACCACGTTTCCGCCAGATCGTTTAGGAACAGCTACGGACCGGTTAGCGAAACCGCGTTTCCCGATTCTTCGCTTGGAGACGGTTCGGCGTCATTCATTTCTGATTCGTCAACACCAGCGACGTCGTTCTCACCTCGTTAACCCCACGCTATTACGATGAGAGATATCTCGCGACACGACGTCATCCGCGCGGATGAGATATCTAGCATATTCGATTCATTACCGCGGTTCGTAATCAACTCAAAAAGTTACCACAATATTACAGTCGTTTAAACGCATCGTTTACGGAACCCGTCAGAATGACGGGTCGTCAATTTTTGAATTTACGATTATTCAGATTGCAAAGATACATTTATAAGTTATTTATTTAATATGTTTGTTAACTGCGGCAAATATTGCTGCAACACTCGTTAAAGATCAGAATGTAAATGTTTTATTGTCACTTTTATGAACTGATATGAAACGACATGATAATTATCTAGTGATAATTCATCGAAAGTTGAAGCTTGAGTATAGGAAATATTTGTTTAACTCTTTTCTGTTCTAAAAATCCTGATAATATTTAGTTGGATTAACAGATTACAATAAAATATGAATTTCAAAACCTAATTAAAAATTGGGGTAATCCGTATGTGACTATCTATACTAATTAGAAGATATAGGAACTGCATAGATGTTAACTTCGTTTAAAAAGTGTAACAAGTCAAATATAATGCAAATTCTTTTTTTTATGTTTTTAGTGTATGTTTAGTTTTAGTATGATTTTTATAACAATACAATAGAACCTCGATTATCCGGACTAAACAGAGTGACATGAATGTTCGAATAATAAAACAGTCACTTAGTGACATTGCCAGATTTGGTTTTCATCGATTTTTATTGTAGATCGTTTTGCATATAGGTTGCTTTGGACTGAGCTAATTACTGTCAATTCTCCCTAATTGACGCTCAGCTTGGAAACAAACATGGACAATATGAGAAGAGGAGGTGCGATTATTCCAGCCTTGCAGCTAGTCTTTATAGTTGTCGACAATCGGTAACTATAAAAACGAGTCGCAAGGCTCGAATAATTGTATCTCCTCTTCCCAAATTGTCCATTCTTTTGTACAAGCTGAGCGTCAATTAGGGAGTATTTACTGTACACGTGAAACGCGTTTGGACAATACAAAATTCTAACATTGGAAGATCGGACAATCGAGGTTCTACTGTACCTTGTTTCTTTATGTAAATGCCTAGCGTTGCACAACGTCGCGTTGCACGACGTCTTTTCTTGATTGAGAGTCAATACAGACAACAAAGAGAATCAGCTATTATGTCGCAAGATATCTCGTTTGAATTAACCAAGAAATTAACGAAGCTCATCCATTGTCTAAAAGAATCGTCGTACAGTCCGAGAGAAGATTTAGAAGGGAAACTTGAAATTGGACAAGGTCGAGACATTACGAAGGCTGAAATACGTTTGTTCAACGAATTACAGCGTCGACGACCGGTAGGAATCGACGATATCCCAGAAAACTGTGCGAAAGAAGACGCGTGAGACGGGAGTTCCGAATTGCCGTCGTGAGATAAGTGCGAACATGATTGCGTGAGTGTGAAAGGAGAGACAAATAGAGTGTGTGAGAGCGAGAGAGAAGGAGAAAGAGAGAGAGACAGACAGACAGAAAGAGAGAGGACGAATGAGGATACACCAGACGTGAGAGAGACCATTTAGTGCGACAGTGATACAACAACTATCTTGCAATCTCCTGCGTCTTGTAGATCATTAGCGTCACTTATTGTTTCAAACACATATATATATAGACAGAGCGCCGTCCTAAATTGCGCTTCGGTAGCCCGCTCTCTGTTTCCAACGGCATCGGGATGGAAACGTCGACAGAATCATTAGCCATCTCCTCGAAATCGTTTAATAATAGCGCTCGTAATAATAATATCGTCGGAGAAATAAATCGATAAAGACTCACCTGTCGTAGTCCTGCTCAGCGAAATTCATTGCGGTTTTTATCCGGCTGTGATTTTCCTCGCGGTATAGATTAGGGTGTGTAGATCCGTTGGTCCCCGGAGAGATCAGTGTGATTTAAGGGGGTTTCGAGTTCGTTTCAGTTCGATCGGCGTCGATTAGTTTTCGAGCAAGGGGGCTTGTGGCATTTGCTGGCGACACACGTGTCAGAGAGTCACTTCCGTCGGGTTTCCTCGGGATTGGTTAGAAGGAGAGAAAATAGTACACGCGGTTCGAGATCCGATCGAGATCCTCCAGGTATCGGTCGCCGCGGCCCTCGAAAAAGACAAAGGGGCGCCGGGTTACGGCAAGATTAATCTTCCCGTTACGCCCGCCCTTTCTCATTTATCCATGCAGAGCGATTCGATTTCTCCCCGTCGTTCCGCGAGAGATTCTTCCGCGGACACTCAACGTGAACGAAAACAAAATAAGAGAGAACGACGGGATAGAGTGCCACTGAATCAACCCTTAAGCCGAGACGCGATCTCGCCGGTGGTGGTTGCGGCGGTGGTGGTGGCGGCGGCGGTGGCGGTGGCGTGGGTGCAGCGATTGTTGAATATACTTCACCGGGACGCGTCGATCCACCAAAAGATACTTCGAAACTCTCGTCAACGACGAGGTGAAACACTCCCGCGAAAAGATGCGACGCGTCCAACAACCCTTAAGGGAACAACGAGACCCTTCGTTGCGGCTGTTTTCCTTGAGGAATCACTCTGTTCACTTTCGCAGCTTCGAGTGGATTGTGAGCGATCAGGAATAGTCGAAAGAAGTGGAAATCATTTTCGGTACGTCGTTCGGGAAGTAACACGTTGACTGCCGCGTCGATGATCGCTGGATGACACATTTGTGTACACATCCAAAATTGTGAGCCACCGCGTACAACGAATGAGAGATGGAATTATTTTACGGTGGAATGCGTGTACGTGTACGCGTGTACCAAAACGAGCGTGAGGATTGCGCGAAGAATGAGATGAAAGTTAGTTGACTGACAACCACCGCGACGTTTAACAACATTCTGCTCAAATTAATCCTTCATGTAATAACACTCCACGTTTATTAAGTCACAATTATGATGAAACGAGGCACAATTGTGACAAGAGTGCACAGGTGAAATAGGAAACTGTAAAGACATTAGGATTATTCAACTGTATTGTAGCATTGTTGAAATTGTTAAAAGAAAATTAATATTCCTAAAATTAGGCTCGGCGAATCTGTTGCTTAATAGATTGACTGCTACGCCAATGTCCACTAAAGTCGCGCAAGATCCAAACAATTTATTTTATAATCTATTAGAAGAAAGGTCGAGATTTATTATCTTAATTTCAGTTTTTGTTTACTGTAATAAAAATTGATCTTCGATAGATATGTGATCAACGTGGCAGTCAAAGTATAGTGCTAAACCAAATTTCATTAGAGCTTGCAGCATCTAAAGGGCTTGAGGGAGCAGGCACTGTGATAAACCTGAACTCTGTAATTTTGGCCTCATTAATCAAATTACTGCGATTTTATAGAGTTTATCAAGGTGGCGGTTTGACAGTCAACGTGTTATGAATTATAAAATCGTACAATATTGAAAGCGGTTGTTCTTTCGATTGTCTTATATTAAAGTTAGCTTCTGGATCATTTACAAGGAAGACTTTTTGAGAAGAGTTTTCAGCCACACAATTGACAATCGCATAAAATAGGCGTTCCTACTTTATAATAACATTCTTCTGTATATTTATAAAATCGTGGAACCTGATAAACGAACGAAGCCAGCAGCTTCTTAATTAAAACACAACATCGGACATGCTTCCTCTAGATATAATAATGAAAACCCTGACACACAGCAGAGTGTCCGCCATTCGCGCACATTGAAGAATCCGTGAGACGCGATGCTGCAGCGAAGCGCGCCAAATCGTAGAAGACAATATGCAATCCACCTGAATGCTCGTGAATAATCATTCTCGCCATAGCAAATCACTCAATCGAAACCAACAATGTGAAACTGTTTAAACGACTCGAAGCCAGCGGCTTCTCTAAACTCGTCCCTAGGGCAAACATTTTCATTTTATTCACCGTCATTACTAGGCTACGGATTGTATACCGTTGCGACAAAAATGAATAGATCGAATTCAAATCAGCGTTGACACATTTAAGGAATCTCAAGCTACTATTCTATCATGTTCAACTCATTACAATGATTCAGAAAGAAAATAAATGTTCGTTAAGCTCTTGCGTCTTGCAGCCAATGCAGACAACTTTTATTATGCATAAAGATCCTCAGTCTAATCGTTACACGCCTAACGTAACATTAGTAGACCGAGGATCTTAATGCAAAATAAAATGTTCTTACTGTTTAATAATTTGGATTATTTGAAAGCAACATGCTCGTACGTTTACTCGCCTATAATGCTTCCATTGCCTCGTATTCCACGAACTCATCTCTTACGCAAACACATAAAATCCGCGGTCTAGTCGGTCCTTTCACTTAGGAATGACATTACACACCAGGGGTAAACAACAGCAATCCAAACCTCTGCGAACGAGGCCGCGGAAGCGTCCAGAAATGATTCCAGAAGTCACCAGAAACTTTCACTGGAGAATAAAGCGAGTCCGCAGGAGACGTTGCTCAAGAGTTGTCGCGAGTCGAAGAGTCTCGATTCAAGAGTGGATCAAGGGCACGATAGATAGAGGGTCCCGGGGGCAAAGAGATAGACAGAAAGAGATAAAGAGAGAGAGAGAAAGAGAGAAAGAAAGAGAAAGAGAGAAAGTGTGGTCAACAGCCAGTGTTGAGGAAAATTTACTCACGATTGTGTGGCACGTTTCGGTGGCGCGGCAGGACTGTCGACGAGGGTGGAAAAGCACGTCGGACCGGCCGCGAAAGAGGCTCGCTCCTCTCTTGAGGCGCATCGCGCAGACGTGTCCCACGAATACACCCCCCACCCTCCTTACGGGGCACACACGCCGAGCGATAAACGGGGGGGTTGCGAAGGAAGATCGCTGGCGGTTTTCCCGTGGCCGACAGCGGCGCGGAAAGGGCCGGAAAGGGTCGGGATGCGAAGGGATCGGCTTGTAACCGTGTCACGGGGAACGCGCCAGTAAACCGACACCGATACACAGTGTTCCACAATCCACAATCAATGCCACTGATGAGCTGCAACTACGCATGCATCTGCGGCCGGGTCGCCCAACGCCGCGACGTGCCGGCGAGGCAGCTGCATAACGCGACCCCTACTTTTTGCTTGTTTCGGCAGCACCCACGCGACCCCCAGATGCATTATGCTCAAACGGAAAACGATGCATCAAGCAGAAAAACGTGGATCGGTATTGTCGCAGTTCGTGTCAATATTTACTAACATCGGGTTTACGGAACCCGTCAGAACGACGACGGGTCACTAATTTTTTAATTTCCAATTATTCAGATTGTGATGATACATTTACATTTATATTTGAGTTGTTCGTCTAATTTATATGCGGAAAATATTATGATAACACTCGTTAAAAATCAGAATAAATGTGTTATTGTCTCTTTTATAAACTAATACAGTAAATTCTCCCCAATTGTCCTTCAACTTGTAAACAATATTGGACAATTGGGGGGAGAAGGAGGTACGATTATTCGAGACTTGCGCCTCGATTTTACAGTTGTTGACAATTGGAAATTATAAAAATGAGACGCAAGGCTTGAATAATCGTATCCCCTCTTCTCAAATTGTCCATTTTTGTTTACAAGCTGGGGAAAAATATTGCTGTATACACAAACTCTTTTTGTTTACAAGATGGGGAAAAATTGCTGTATACGCAAACTCTGTGAAACGAAATAAACCCGAAAAATTAACAGTTTCAAGGTGACCACGACACAGTCCCTTCGGTCGTTCGACCGCGTTATCACTAGAATCCTGAAACCAAAATAGACACTCAACGCACCCCACTGCAACAAGTATAGGTGACATTTGCTCGACTATGGACGATTCTTCCTGAATCTCAGGTTTCCAATTTTGCAATTATTTTTGGTAATTTGTTAAAGATTGTTAGATGCGTTTTGCGATTGACAAGGTTTTTAGGACGAGTTGTTTATATGTTTCATATGTTTGTTTAATATATATATAATATAATGTAATAATGTAAAATTTGTTCTCGAATAATTTTAATATATATAATAATAATATATATAATACCATGAAATAATATAATATTTTTCCTTGAATGATTTTAATATATTGTAAAATTGTTTCAACGTTACGCTGTTTGACATTTCACTTCTATAGTCCTTTCTTGTGGAAATGCATAAAATTCAGAATTTGTTTTAACCGACAGAATGAAGCTTCGTAATAATCTTGACATTTACATTGTCAAAAGACTGAAAAATGATTTACACTGTTGGAAACAATCTTTCCGATCGATGGAATAAATTGATTTAGTGTTTATAGTGTAAATATACATGATATTATTAAACTGTGGATTTTTATGCAGAATAATCATTTTCTGCGTCAATTCCAAGAAAGGAAAATCTGATAAATATTTGTCTGGCTAGTATATTATTGGATAATTTGAATATGTTGTTAAATTGCCTCAATGGTGTCCCTGAAACTGTCACGATAATAATGTCAATGTTAATCATTTTGGTTACCGCGCCGTCTATCTATAATTTCAAAATGAAAATTGATTCGAAGCTTCGCAATGATTCAGACATTTTCAGTTTTACAAGGCTTTACTGTCGCGTGCAATTTTACGGGCTGGTAGCTTAGAAATGTTCTCTTAGAAGCTTGACTTTTCTTGACAGATATTCTGAAAGTTACAGCATCGTATTTTACCAGAAGTTCCAGGCGGAATCAAATGAGCGCTTTATATTCGAGACTTTACGCTATGTAGATTACATTTTCATAAAATATCAAATTATATACTCGGCCAGATTGAGGAAATTAGTTATTCTGCTTGGATAGCTGAAGATGCAACAAAGAAAATCTTATAATCTTAAAATCTTAATAATACGAACGGTGTTGATCAGCGTCCAAGCATCCGCATCTACAACATCGAAGCGTAAAATCTAAAAGTTACAATATATATAATTTATCCGAAAAAATTCGTAATTAATGTGCGGATTTTCTGCGATTATATCGCATATTAAGAAAGCTTGGTCCACAATTTGCACGGAGCTACGTTTGACGTAACAATTTATATTGATAACTTGTTTGAACGTAGAAAATTGATTCAACTTTCACATTTTATATCACGCTCACGTGAAAAGGGAGAAACGTGGAACGATTTAATCAAATGTTGCAACTGACGGGTTCGCTATTCTTTTTTATAATTAAAATTCTTTCATCGCACTTCTCTAATCCTTCGAAATCTATGAAAACGGCCCACGTAAAACTGAATTCTCATAAACCGGACAAACAAGAGACTTTTTGTTAACGTCCTTTGCCGCATGAATATTTCCAGCGCAGAAAAAGAAACTTGACAAATTCGTTTCATTCCAGTCGGAAATTCTGGATGGAGCGGTTCGTTGTTTAAAGGCGATGCATATGAGCAATAAATTACAGGGACGGCAACCAAAAAATGGTGGCTCCGAGATTGTGTTGCTGACATTCGCCCGGTACTTGCACCCCAGTTTTTCCGACGGTTTTTTCGGTCACGTACGAGGGGCCAGAACTTCTCAGGATTAGAAAACTTTCGGATCGAATTTATGGACGATCAGACGGTCGAATATTTAGTGCGTTTTTTCCTGTCTTTCAACCGTCACCTGCTCGATTTATATTTATGATTCCGGCAACCCGTTCTCCGATTGTTTTTCACGTTCGAGAATATTTCGAAAGCTTCGTCGACGAGAGAAATCGTTCTTGCGACGAATTTCGACGGATCCCCATTTAGCCTGATATTTTCTAGGCTCCCAGGAAACGATTCCCAGAACCGGAATCCCGTTTGCAGTTCATGCTAAATTTTCCCAGCGATTTCCTCGAACGATCGCTAGGGAGGCAACAAATCTGCGGAATCATTTCTCCTTCTCGCGCATTTCTCTTGCAAGATGTTCCGCTGCGTTTTATTCGTTGCACCGTATTGTCAGCGAACATAATGGACTCGAGAAAGTGTGGCCATTTCTCAAACACTTAACTATCTGCTCGATATTAATAAAAATCTAATCGTTGCAATACTTTCACGAAAGCTTTTTAATAGAAACACGAATTCTTTGAAATAATAACTTCTCTCGACAATTTTTCTTTCTAGAATCGTAATCGTCGAGTCTATTTTAAAGAAAAAAGAAATATACTCATTTAGCAAGAAAGCTTTTGAAAGCTTACAGAGTAGATACGCGAATATGAACGTTACAATGTCCATTTCCTTCAGCGAAAAATTGGAGACGAAGCTCTATTTCCAAGTGTATTCTGCTGTAAATTTTAACGTCCCAAAAATTGAGTTTCCAGTCCGCCGAGAATCGTTCTCCGACGCGTTGAAAGCAGAAAAAAATCAAATACCACTGTTGGAGCACTGTCTGCGCATATGTGTATAGCTCGCGAGGACGAGTTTAGGATGTTTTCCTCCTCGAAAATGTATTTTCTACGAGGAGGATTCGCGGCTAAAGTGTTCTCCGAAACGATACTACATGGTTGTCGTTCTGTTCTCGCGCGACGCGGAAGGCGAAATATTCATAACTTGTCGTTAACACTCTCGACGTGTTCTAAAATTGTAGAATATCGATCCAAAGATATGCGCAAAATTGAGTTAACCTGGCAACTTTTTTCGTCGTGGAAACTTTTACCTAGCGTGATCGTGTGGCGACACTTCGTATTTGCACTGTGTAGTTTCAAACATCGCCATAATGTTTTTTATGTGTAGTATACTAAGGCAGTCAGGATATGCTAAAGAGTATATTTTCCAAGTATGTCAAAATATTTTATCAAGATAAACAATCAAGTAAAAAGCGATTCGATTTTGTTACTTTAACCTGCTGAAAGGGATGGCTTTTCCGACGAAAAATGCTCGGCGTAGCTCAAAGCGCGGCCTGGTATCGGTCAAACAGAAGTCAGACAGAACGAGAGAACGAGAAAATCTTCGTGTGGACGGAAGAAGCGGAACAGTCGTTCGAGGAATTAAGAAAAAGATTGATGGAGTCTCCCATTCTTTCTTATCCGTCGGTTAATACAGAATTCATTTTGGACACGGATGCTTCAAATTTTGCAATTGGAGCAGTTCTTTCTCAAATTCAGCAAGGTAGATTCCTTCTGAGGACCGATCACGCTGCTTTACGTTGGTTGCTGTCTTTCAAGAATCCGGAAGGACAGGTAGCACGTTGGATCGAGCGGATTCAGGGATATGACTTTGAGGATATGACATAAGCTTATTGGCATAACCTTGGCCTTGGGCTTGGCCTTGGGCTTGGCCTTGGGCTTGAACTTGGGCTTAGCCTTGACCTTGGCCTTGGCTTGGCTTGGCCTTGGGCTTGGCTTGGCTTGCCATGGCTCCGCTCAGCATGGTTCGGCTTGGCTCGCTTTGGCTTGCTTTGGCTCGGCTCGGCTCGGCTTGGCTCGGTTTGACAAGGCATTGGCCTTGGGCTTGACCTTGGGCCTGACCTTGGTCTTGACCTTGGACTTGACCTTGGGCTTGATCTTGGCCTTGGCCTTGAGCTTGGCTTGGCTTGACTTCGCTCGGCATGGTTCGGCTCGGCTCCGCTCGACATGGTTCGGCTTGGCTTGCTTGGGTTCGGCTTGGCTCAGCTTGGCTCGGCTTGGCTTGGCTCGGCTTGGCTTGGCTCGGCTCGGTTTGGCTTGGTTCGGCTCGGCTTGGCTCGGCTCCGCTCTGCTTGGTTCGGTTTGACACGGCTTGGCTCGGCTCTGCTTGACTCGGCTTGGCTCGGCTTGGCTCGGCTCTACTTACTTTAACCTCTCCACCTGCTCCCTATGGTGTGACAGAAAGAA